CCCCCCAAAATTATTTTTTGCCCCCCCCCATTTTGCCCCCCCCCCCTCAAAAAAATATTAGTCACTAAGAGAGACTAAAGGCTACACAAGCGTTCTGTCGTTATCGGAAAATGTATGGCTTATAAGTTGTCATTACTCATTAGTGAATGCGCGTATACATGAAACTGTTTTTTACAAGTTCAATATTAGTTTGTAAATCTCTGAATGGTAAAATTTGCCAATACTCCAATAATACGTTTCAAAAAAAGACAAAAGAGCTTTAGTTTTGCAGAGTTAAATTCTCAACGTGTAAGGCAATAATAAGATGAAAGTATCACGAAATTATTTGAATAAACCACATCGCATATATGGGGGGCGAATGTTCTAAAGAGGGGCGATATTCCTAGGGTATTCGCCCCCTCGGGGGCGATATTCCTAGGAATATCGCCACGTTTTGAGGGGGGGGGGGCGAATTTCCTGGGGGGCGACCTTTTTAAAAATTCAATCTTGCCCCCCCAAAATTTGAGTTTGCCCCTCAAATGCCCCCCCAAATTTGGAAGCCTGGCGCCGCCACTGAGTGTTACTACAGGAGGAAACCTAAACTAAACTAACTTTATTTATACTGGATAGCTCTATCAGTTTTAAACTGTTTTTCCTAGAGGTCCAGTAAGGATCATCTCTTATTGATCCAGTGTTACTACAGGAGGAAACCTAAACTAAACTAACTCTATTTATACTGGATAGCTCTATCAGTTCTAAACTGTTCTTCTTAGAGGTCCAGTAAGAGTCATCTCTTATTGATCCAGTGTTACTACAGGAGGAAACCTAAACTAACTTTATTTATACTGGATAGCTCTATCAGTTCTAAACTGTTCTTCCTAGAGGTCCAGTAAGGATCATCTCTTATTGATCCAGAGGAAACCTAAACTAAGAATCAGACAACTGCATATTGTGGTATTGAAATGCCACCGGTCACAGAAATTTGGCTGTATCTTGGCAACTCCTTTATGTACTATTTAAAACACGAGTAGGAGTGTTTTATCAGATATAAAACGCGAGGCGCAGCCGAGCGTTTTATATCTGATAAAACACGACAACGAGTGTTTTGAATAACTTAAAATACGACTACAAAAGAATACTAATTAGGATGAACCATAATATAATCATGCTAATTAAGATGAACAACTATATAATGCCACATGTGTTTTATCAGATATAAAGTCACTCCACGTGACATATTATAGCTGACATGATTTGCCACAAGGTTTATGAATTATTAATGATATTTTAAGCTAATATGATAAGAGTTATATCCGCTACGCTGCTGTTTAGAATTTAGAATTAGTTCTGAAGGGATAGGTTAGGATTAAAAATGGATTCATTGTAGGAATGAGATTTAGGAGATTGGGATTAAAGGCGAGCCGGGTTAGGTGCTGGACACCAGGTTAGGTGCTGGACATGATCATGCCTAGCCTGCATGGCAGGCGTTCCCAGGCTTGCCTGATCATGCCCAGCACCTAACCTGCGAACGGGCATACTCTGGTTCGAGATCGGGCGAACCGTGAAAATCGGTGGAACCAGCACGAGTAATCCTGACGGTGCTTCCATACTAAAATTATTTGTTCAATTTCCATATATGGCAGAACAAAGATTTCACCAATTACCAATGCTATTCCAAAATATCACTTTGGAATATACACATGTTTTGGGCTATAGGAAGAACCAGGGGCAAATTTTAAACTTGGGATAAGAAGGGATATAAAGAAACACTGAGCTTTAATGGTAATATAGCAAAGCTCAGTAATGAGAACCTGTAGAGCACAAGTGTAGACAGATCTAGGAAGCACTGTAGTATTATATGTAACTTTTCACTACATATTTCAGTACAATTTACAATATTTTCTGGATATTGAAATTTACATCATTTTTCCAGTTCCGCCAATAGTTCCATTTCACTTCAAGAATTTCATAAAATATGGAAATTTCCATAGAAGTGGAAACACTGAGAAAACCGGTTTTGAAAACCTGTTTTTGGCGCTTGATCGACCACGTGACATATTGCACGCGTCCTTTCATATTTGCTTCGCTGTGAAAGAGATTTAGTGGATTCGTAGCTGATTTTTTAACGAAAATATTTCACAAAATATGGGGGAACCGTGCAAGGTACATGTTGGAAACCTTTCTTATAGTGTCACAGAAGAGGCACTGCGCCAAGCTTTTGAAGCATGTGGCGACATTGATGAAGGTTAGTCGAGAGAACTTGACATCTGTTCAATTTTAGTTGAAATACATGTAGTGATTTTTGTCCGTATTGTCATGAACTTTAGTGTCTTATTCCCTATTGTGAAGGGGAGAGTCTTACACATTAATGTAGATCTCTATTATTTGTGATCTCAACTGAGGTAGCTAGCTATAAGGGCCTGATTCTACAACCGCAACATTCGTCGCGAGAAATTGTTTCTGTGAAGTATGGATGGTTGCACGTGAGTCATCATTTTTCTACTGAATGCGGGGTGTGAATAGGGGTATACAAATCCGCCCAAATTTGAAGCAAAATCCGCGATCCGACAATGGTCTTGTCTAAATTTGAATCCGCTAAAAACTCTACTAAGAAGAAGTCACAGTCCAAGATCCGAACTAAATTGCAAGCTAAATCCACAATCCGAGCCAAAATATTAGATAAATCCACAATCCGCTGTGTTAATAAGATCCGCAAATCCGTGTAAAACATTTGCCAGATCCAAACAATTTTTTATGTAAAATCCGACGATCCGAAAACCTATTCACCCCCCTGAATTTTTCCACTTTTGTCGCGAGTAGAACCATGGATAATAAAATAAATGGATAGGAAACCAGCTGACGTGACCTAATGTTTTCAATGGACTGATGGCGTGATTGGATGTTGAAACCTAGTTGCAAACCAAATTCTCAAAAACGGCATGTTTAGCAATAATACAGCTAAACATTTTAGTCAAAGAGCAAATGAATATAACTACACCATTCTATGATGAAATCTCTAAGTATTCCCAGTCAATTTTAGCAAATATTTCAAGCACTAAACAGTAAAAAAGGCATCCCAAATTTCGTTAAAATTGGGGACGCCAATTTTGTAGCTACAAATGTAAAAAAATACAAAACAAAGACGAAAAACATTTACCTTGAATACTTTGTTGTGGCTTAGGCATGTTTTTAAAACAATTGCACCAGTATATGCTTCAATATTACTCTTTTAATTAAAGCGGAAAGTATAGCGAAACAACAAAAATGCAGAGAACTTTGCAATACGTGTGACGTCACAGATTGCAACTATGTTGTTTTTGCTTACGTTAGATTATCCATGGTAGAAACGACTCAACTGACTTCTACTCGGTGGTGAAGCAAATTTTTTTCTTGCGAAGCCCGACTGATCTTTACTGCGCTTCAACTTCAAAATTTTTTCCGACGGAAAATTTGTGTTGGCCAATCACATTTTACCAAATTTTCTTTCTGTGAAAAATTTGTGTTGGCCAATCACATTTTACCAAATTTTCTTTCTGCGGAAAATTTGTGTCGGCCAATCACATTTTACAAAATTTTCTTTCCGCGGAAAATTTGTGTTGGCCAATCACATTTTACAAAATTTTCTTTCTGTGGAAAATTTGTGTTGGCCAATCACATTTTACAAAATTTTCTTTCTGCGGAAAATTTGTGCCGGCCAATCACATTTTACAAAATTTTCTTTCTGTGGAAAATTTGTGTTGGCCAATCACATTTTACAAAATTTTCTTTCTGCGGAAAATTTGTGCTGGCCAATCACATTTTACAAAATTTTCTTTCTGTGGAAAATTTGTGTTGGCCAATCAGATTTTACAAAATTTCCTTTCCGGAGAAAATTTTTGTCGGCCAATCACATTTTACCAAATTTTCTTTCCGCAGAAAATTTGTGTTGGCCAATCACATTTTACAAAATTTCCTTTCCGCGGAAAATTTGTGTTGGCCAATCACATTTTACAAAATTTTCTTTCCGCAGAAAATTTTTGTCGGCCAATCACATTTTACCAAATTTTCTTTCCGCAGAAAATTTTTGTCGGCCAATCACATTTTACCAAATTTTCTTTCCATGGAAAATTTTCTTGAGTGGAGATGGCCTTAAAATTCGAGGGGTAAATTACTCTGAAATCTTCGTACACTTCATCAAAAATCCCAAAAAATCTTTGGAAAATCCCAAAATCTTACTAAATCCCAATTAAGAAATCTTATTGAGAAAAATTATTGAGAAATCCCATCAAATTTAAACATTTAAATTTAATTGGCATGAAAATGCTCTTCGTTGATTTACTTCATTTTAAAAATAATTTGACGGATTATATGTCTCAAAAAATTTCGGAAAAAGTTCGGCGAAAAAAAGAAGGGAAAATATTTCGAAAAACTCGGCTGAAAAAAATCCCTTAAATTTGGGGAAAAAATCCCAGAATTCCGAGAAAAATTGCCTGGATTTTCTAATCCCAAAAATCTTCGTACGCTTTTTTCCAGAGTAATTTACCCCTCCTTAAAATTAACGAAGTATATAGTCAATATGACATTCTACAATTCTTGTCTTGAATAGCGATTGTGGTAACGGACAGAGAGACTGGGCGACCTCGTGGATTTGGATTTGTAACTTTTCAAGAAAAACAGGGTGCGGATAAGGCGATTGCCGATCTCGACGGCACTGTATGTATTTTTTTAATTTCCCTATTTTAAAAATTTTTTTTTATTAATTTTATAACAAGAAATTGAAGGCACAGACAACGGGACTATACTACGCTATACCATAGTATAGCGTAGTATTTTCATGTATGGCAGGACTTAATTTGGGACTTTATTAGTCCTGTTGTCTATGCTACAGTATACTATACTATACTATAAACGGTTATAAAATTAACAAAGTACGTAGCTAGTTAATTACATATTTACGGTATTATACATAATACGCCCTTCCGGAAAGCACGTCACCCTGGCCTAGAGCCCCGCTTTTGTGTATCTGACATTAGTTAAAGTGCGACTAACCCCAAATATAATATTTGGTATGTGTAATATTTGGGTCATTCTGAGAAGAAATGTAATATATCTTTATCGTAAAAACCTCATCTTGATCGACTTTTTCACTGTCAAAGTTTCCAGATATGACGTCATTAGGTGAATTTTTGGTAAAAAAAAACAAAGGAAAACTAATTTGCAATTCACCTAATGACATCATATCCGCAAACTTTGACAGTGAAAAAGTTGTCAAGATTGGATTTTTTATTATTAAGATATTTTTCATTTCTACTTCGAATGACCCAAATATTACACATACCAAAAATCATATTAGTGGTTAGTCGCACTTTAAAGGCCTCGTCTCGATCACGAAAACGAGGCTCCATAGCCAAGGTGATGCACTTTACGGAGGCGTGTATTACATTCGTACAAAAACTCAGAACATGCACTTCTACGAACAACAAGACGTAAAACAAGAACGACATTTATGTATCAATCAATTCGAAACTTTACCATCCC